CTGTCTCATTGATGTTTGCCTCTTCATCTCCTTCTTGACATTTATATACAATGGTAAAGATTGCTCTTTGCTTGTAAGTGTTCAGTGGCAAATAGTTCATGCATATTCAGGATTAGAACACATTAAACAATTAATACAATAGGTTAGTTTCTGCAAGGTGATTTTTTATCAGAGTGAATAGCAGAAAACTTTAGACTGCCACTAGAAAATGAGAGTATGTTGGATAGGTGGCAGACATTTTGCCTTGCAACAGGCCACCTGCCATATGTGAGAAGTCCAGGCCTGGGATGACCATATTTCTATACAATGTACCTCAATAAATAAGAGATACTAGGATCTATTTCACATAAGGGTCATTTTCAAAATATCCTTTAAGGGTCACTTAACAATTGATTGTTTCTCATGTTTATATTTGGACTATTTGAGAATTTTTTTCATCCTATTTATGAAAGTGTTACCAAATTTTAAATGCTTATGACTCAAAAGCTGCATTCTGGACAGACTTGGACATTTTTAGAGTATTAATTAAGTGGAAAGAATATTACAAATTCAAACCATAAATAATGGAATGTTGATATACAAAACATGTAAAATTAGCATTTTTATTTATCAAATTTGTCTTGAGTAGCAGCATTTTCTGCCTAGTAGAATATATATTTATGCCATATGTATCTCCAAACTTCGATATTCAAATTCCAGTTGCTTACAGATACTGACTTCGTGGGTGAAAACGTATCTTTCAAAGTAATCCTCCTTCTTTTAAACAACAATCTATAAAAACTTAACAGATGAACTTAGTTTTAAGCTATGTTTTAGGAGACATCATTTTCTTTAGCAAATTAAATGCCACTAGGTATTGGCTGGGACCCATGCAATTTATAAATCCCAGGTATTGGTAATCATGTACCTTAATGGCAGTGTGCCATTTCTGATGTAGCATAGTGCACACTTATAATGGTTCTAAGTGAAATAAAAAAATGTTATTGTTAAAACGCAAAAACAATGGTGAAGGAGTAAATTTAAAAGTGGGGGTGAGGGCAAACATCTGAAAGTGACAAGCAAATAAATAACAAACCTTCTATAGTCTTATAGTTTAGGAGGAGGGAATTGTCCCCGTACATGTAGAACCTGGTCTCCTACACCCTGATAATTATTACCAACTGTCTTGAAGACACATTTAAATACTTGTCGCTCAACAATTTCACGGAATGATTTTGAATGATTTACTCACACATTGTTGTCAATATAATGGAATTCTATGCGACTGTCATACAAGTGAGAGGTTTAGCTAGCTATAAAACCAGGTTTAATCCACCATTTTCTACATAAGGAAATGTCTGTACCAAGTCAGTAATATGACAGTTGTTTTCCATTTGTTAGCTTTTGATTTTGCAATTTTATAAAGGACTTTCCGTTTTGAATTTCTCTTGGAGTTCGGTATTTTTGTTATTTTACTTTTTACTAGTAAGCTGTATTTGTTTTCCAAATATTTCAAACATAATACTTTAGTTTAATCAGAGACATATATATGTCTGTTTTAATTAAGGTGAATGGAGACACATGTAGAGACATGTATAGTTAATATGTCTGTGCTAGAGACGGATGTGTCATGCCCTCATTGCCGTTTACTATCTACTGTACAAACCATTGCGTTAATTGCTTTCTCATCTGATAAGCAAATAGCTGGTAGCACTTCATAGTGAAATGCTGGGATGTAAAGTTGCTCACAACATGGTCAGATGATATCATGCAAATGTTTGAAAATATTTTCCTCGTGTGCAATTTTTACTGTCTAAACAGCTTTCCATCCCTTTTCATTTAGTTTGAAATTAAACCATTTCTTGCAAATACGCCAACCCATTTAATTTGTAAAAGAAAAAGAGTCTCCTTGATTCTACTACTGAGTTATATAACGCTAAGTTTGAATCACCCTCCTCGAAATCTGTATCGCAAACGTTTCAAATCATAGGTAATACATCTGATTTTAGTTTTCAGACAGTCTTACGAAAGTTGCACAGTTATAATGAACGATGCACTTCTTTAACTGTGTAATGATCACAAAAATTACATAATCAAAAGATTAATTAAAACTAATTGCAACCAAAACTCTACCTCTATTTGACCTTACTATATCATCAATTACAGGTATCAATTCGCAAACAAATTATTAATTCCAAATTTGCGGAACAATTTCTCAAGTCAGTTTTATTATCATACCACACGTCACCTCTTTCCCTAACCTCCAAATCTGATTGAAATTCCGATCTATTCGTCGAATTATATGGTAATTATAGATCTATATTTCGATATGTGCAGACGGCTCATTTTGCTTACCCTTACTGTGTGGTTCGTATTGCTCGGTATGTAGTTTTCTACGTTTTGTTAGTCGTCTCGTTTTTTTTTTGTCACTTTGCCATGGGTGTTTGCAGATCGCCTAGACTGTCCAAAACACATTTTTATTTAAATAGTTAACAGATACTTCTTACCTGTTACATAAATAAGTATTGTATTTGAAAACGTGAACTGTGTATATATCATTTGAAGTGTATATATATTGGTGGAGGAATTCATAGACTTTAGGGTGGTGGAATTATTTTATTTTTTACTCCAAATACGGAGGTGTGCCTATATTGGCAGAAATTCATTGAATACAGATACATGGCGTTGCTAGATTTTATTTGACTTATGAGTTTTGAATGTCCCCTTGGTATCTTCCGACTCTTTTTTAATTAGATTGTCTAAATTTCCCTCATATTACCTCATGCCGTTGGGGTTTGGAAAGGTGAATAAGGAATATTCTTTTACTCTTTTAGAATTTATGAGGGTCTGCGTGGGGTTTACGGAGTAGATAATAAATGGGCTACTGAAAAATGTGCAAAACAAATGAAGAATAGAGAGAAATATAGATCGACCAAATAAAGAATAGAGGGAAATGGGGTGTTTAAATATAAAGAATAAAGGAAAATGGACAAAATTTATAATAAATGGCCGAAAAATGGCCGAAAAATTTAAGAATACAGAAATGAATAACCCCCATCGAAACCCTCTTTTATTCTCCAAACAGTTTGTGTGTATTGCATTTCAAACTTTTGGTATCGAGGATTCCTGATGAAGGTTGTTCCAAAAAACTCTCGTCGAAACACGCGTTTATTTTACCACCACTGGTACTCAGTCGGTACTGCTGCTGGTAAACGGTCAGTATTCGACAGTTCTATCCTAACATTGTCCAGTGATTTGGTACTGGTATGTCGCTGAATTTTTGAAGAGACGAATTGGGGGGGGGGGGGGGTTCTTGGTCCCCCTTATAGACCTACATGTATGGTTAATGCATAGACTTTCTACTTGTCCAACTTCTAACGTTTTTTTATTTGAAGACCCCTCTTTTTCAAAAATTCTAGATCCGCATCTATTTCGCCCCTTGAATTCAGTGATAATAGAAAAAAAAGTATTTTAAATCGACCAATTAACCGAATCACGCGATCTTTCAGATGGTCATTAATCGTCTAAAGGTATCAGTAGTTATATTTTTGATTTTTTTTCTCTGTTAGGAATGCATTAGAGCGCTTGCATTAAACGCAAAACTGCAAAACCGACAAAGATAGCCTCACTTTGATATCATTCTTACTCTTTTTTGTGAAGTTTCTGTAATGTGAATTATGTAGTTCTACTAAAGCTAGGAGTGCAAATCCATTCTGAAATCTAGATAGAACGTTTCAATTAGATCCACCACACGTCATTGGAACATACAGAACTGTCCTACTTTATTAATAAAAAGGGGATGTCGGGTATGTATACGTCACCGAAACAGCAACCCAACGACACAAAAAACGGGGAAAAACATTCAAGGGGTTGGACACTATGTCTAGCTCTAAACCCACCAGAGTCTAGTTATAAATAGATTTACAGTGACCTGTTAGATGTCTTTATTAATTCAAAATTTCCTTAACTAGCCTTAAGATATGATAAAGGCAACGAGGTACCCGACTTGGAACAAGCCCGGCGATAAGCAAGTAATAAATAGCTATTAACCTACAGTGTTTTAGTTTATGAATCGTGCATGCTAAATGTGGCTGGTGAAAACATACCACGAAACAGCCAATTGTCAAATGACAGCTGTCTTTGCGTTATGACTACAATCCATGCAAACATTCATTCTTTATTATTTTTTATCAATTAGTCCAAGTACCTCCATCTATTACAGACACTCTACATAATAGTCATTAATTTGCATTGCAGAGTGAATTATGTAATTCTAAAGAAAACATAAGTGACATTCATGTATGTAACTAAGGTTTTTCTGCATGCATGTATTAATTTGATTTATATGTTTCACGTGTGAAGAAAGTCAATATAATCTATGATCTATTTATATTCCAGTGTTAGAAAAGATTCAAATTATCGTGACACAAAAATTGGCCTCGTTTTGGTAGAGGTGAACCAATAATTATTACAACCCATTTGTCTAAGCAGAAGCTAGGGGTGAATAATATTAATGTATATGTGACGGTGACGTCAAGGACACAGCAACCCCAGTAGGAATCGCACCCCAAAAAACATCTAGTTATCTCCATCGTCGTCCGTTAAACGTTTTTTACCCATGATGCCAAGCAATGTTAATATACCACTAAGCTAAATATATATATTGTCCATTGTCAGGATAGTTTTGCTAGATCCCAACGTGTTAATCATGTTGATGTTTTTGAAAATCTTACCATAAATATATTGATCATATTGCTAATTTTATCTCTTCATTTACGTATACTAGTAAATAATTGTCCTGTGGTAATTTAAAACCGTTTTTTCTCAGTGTTCTCATCTTAATTTGTTTTTGGGTTGTTTTACTTTTTGTTGCTTCTTTAGTGTTGTCTCGTTGACATTCATGTCTCATTTGATTCACGTTTATTATCATAATTATCGTAAGATAGATGCCAGTGTACCTTAAGTTCTTATTTGCCACTCAAATGATAAAAACTCCGATTAAGAGTCTTATTATGATAAATATTTAAATTTTCTACGTCGTGCACACAAAATTATTGAGATCTGGACATGTCAAGTGTATTCAATTGAGTTAATTAATTGAGGAAATTGCAGTAAATATTTTGACATATTGCACGTCTTTCAGTAAACAAATACAAAACAAAGTCATAAACAATTACAGCACGTGCATAATGTCTAAAACAATGCATTAATAGAAAGAACATTAAGGACAAGTGATTGGCACAGACAGATAATCTGGTATACATACATATGCAGGTATTTTGATCATCGGAGAGTTTTGTTGTTACTTTGAAACGTCTTAGCTACAAGAGTTTATTTATGATATAGAAACGCCGACGGATGATGACAAACCCGTGATGAATTACCAAACTTTGCAGATGATATTTCGAAACTTATTGTGATTGTAATACTCGTGAAAAAAAAAAGATAAATACTTATTTGTACTCAGTTTCTTGTGTATTCAGTGAAAGAAAATTTACGAAACCATACAATTTAAAGGATTTGTTGTGTTTTAAAATGAGTAGACATATGCAAAAACGGAAGTCACTTCCTGAAAGAAGAAATTTCCAGGAAAAATCTTTACCAGACATTATTAGACACCATGATATGTACTTCAATGAAGAAAATGACAGTCACTCAGCTCCGAATTCGCGCTCAAATTCTTTTCGCTCTAAGACAAAACCAGAAGTAAAGGTTCTCCATGTAGATGTTGGCAATCACAGGAGGAACAGTGAACCGAGTACACCGCTTCCGACAGATTCGTTGTCAGTTCCCGGACAGGATGATAATATTTTGGTTAAAGTAAGATCATTCAAAACTACACGTAAAGGTATTGTGAGTCGCGGAGACTCCTTCAGGAGACAAAGCAGAGGAAGTATTACAAATCTTACTGCTTCAAAATCGGACAATGCTCTTTATAAGTCACAAGAACAGTCACCAACGAAGACAAAAAATGGACTCCTTGCTGCGCCATCAAAAGTGCCAGATACACCGCATAGCAATTGTTATAAAGTTGCAATTATTGGAGCGGATGGTGTAGGAAAAACTGCTCTTACTAAACAATTTCTCTCATCAGAAAGCATGTTCTTCGATGACAGCCCAGGAGGTGAGTAGATAGTTGAAAGTTCGATAAAAAAAGTTTAGTTTAAAAGGACACTATTTTCCTGCCAAGTCCCTATGTCAGAAAATCCCCATTTAAACAAAATGAAAATAGTTTGGTAGGTACAAAGTAATAAGAAATACACGTTTAAGCCGAACATAGATTGTTATCCAAGACAACTGGCCTAATTAGCATTTCCTAATCTTATGGCTTTCAATAGATTATTACGGTCAAGGCCGTTGTAATATGACAGTTTCTATGACAAGAGACCTGAACGCAGAAGCTCCAAAAATTCAAGTTAGTATACAAGGGCATGTATACTGCAGAAAGTTTAAAAACGATAAAAAATGTTTGGGATGGATAAAGACTGTTCCCCATTCCGACTACTATGCTTTATTTAATCTTGCTCATACAAAAGCAACGATATTTTTATGCACATGTCCTAAGTCAGGACCCTGTTTTTCAGTGGTTGTCGTTTGTCGGTGTGGTTCATAAGTGTTTATATAGATTAGACCGTTGATTTTCCTGTTTGAATTGTTTTACAATAGTCTTTTTGGGGCCCACTTTAATTGTTTACTTATTTATATATAGATTAAGTTTATATCGTACTCTACTCTACGTTAAAATAAAAGGGTAACTTACATAAACTGTTTCTACTACAAAAAATAAAACGTTTATTAGCATGCAAAACAGTCTGAAAAAATAAAACAAACTTGAGGGATAATTTCTCGGCCAAACAAATGCTAGGGTAAAAGGCGGGGCAGGGGTATTGCCGTAAGAGCCCTATAAATCAGCTGACAAAATAAATAAAAATACTAGTAACATATCAACTAAGCAGAAGATTATTATAATTATATATAAACTGTTGATTAACATTTTTAAAGTGATTATTTTCTACACAGATTTAAAACGAAAAAAAATCAGTTGATAAAAACATTACATAGATAATTGTGTATATGTTATGAAATTCTTATCGCGTGTGATCGTTCCGCTTTATGCAAAAATGCATGTAGAAAGAAATACCAAAGCTCATCATATTTCATACTTTTGCCAAAATATATCAATAATAATACTATATTTTATACCAGAAGCAACATTTGACAACATCTCATCCTTTATGATGTCTTAAGATGATAATTAACTAATACATTTACACAGAGTCAAAGGAAAGGCCACCATTGGGATAAATATTCAACAGTTTTAACTGAATATTCCCTGTATCAACTCTTACCATAATTATCTATGAGAATAAAGAGCAAACTGAAGTATATACATGATAAAGAAACAGCAATACAAAAAGGAAAGTAATATTGAGCTCAACATACGACCAACATGTTATTTTGACCTGTAATAAACTACGAATTCAACTGCAGTAGGTTTAAAAAGCTACATGTAGTCGTGAATACATGCCAAAACAATTTGATAGCGTTATAATTTAAAGGAAATAAAACCCAGTTTTTTTACAAGACTAATTCATTATATTTCATACATTTGTCAAAATATCATTAATTATTTAATCTTTTGTATAGAAGAGCATTATCTGACACAATCTCTTCCTCTGTGATTTCTTTAGATGATAAAACTTTCTAATGCATTTTCATAGAGTCAAAGGAAGGCAACAATTAGGATAACAATTTAGCTTGTTTTGATTTCTGAAAATGCCAGTTGTCCATGTTGGAAGTATCCACTTCTTTATCGTCACTCTTAAGGTAAATAATTGGCATTTTCCGCAAAGGGGACGGGGGCATATTTGTCCGTCATATTGAAAACTGTGCAGCAAAGGTGATTGTATGCAAACAAACGATATTTTTTCTATCATAGGTTGGGAAATGGGGTACCCCGTTATGCTCACCTTGATCCGCTTTATTTTATGTTTTAAAAGTCTTTTCACTTTTAAAAGCAACAATCAATATTTATCAAAATACCTGCATGAACTCTCAATTGTGACACAACATGACATATTAATCTAATTTGTTACAGATTAAAATACCATATTGACCGTCATGGTGAAAACTGTGCCTAGTGTAGCAAAGGTGAAATTGTTTGAAGATTTTATGCAAAAAAACGATATTTTTTCTATCAAAAGCTGGGAAATGGGGGTACGCCGTCTACGCTCACCTTGATTCGCTTTATGTTATGTTTTGAAATTCTTTTCACTTTTAAAAACAACAATCAATATTTATCAAAATACCTACATGAACTCTCAATTGTGACACAACGCGACATATTAATCTAATTTGTTCGAATAGTTTTAATTTTTATAGCTTATAACTATATACATGTACTAGATATTAATTATTTATCAACTAAAAAGCAATGAAAAAAAAATCAAAAGATTATCATACGGTCAATATGGTATTTTAATCTATAACAAATTGTATTAATGGACGGGAATATGTACCTTTTTTTAAAATTCACGGTTAACGTTATAAGACAATTTCTGTTTTTTCTAAGTTTTGCGTAAAGTCAAAACAGCCAACCAATATTTATCTAAACCTGTAATTCAGCTCGTTTGATTGCACGTATAGTATTTTTTTTACAAACAGACATTAAGTGGTTCTAGTTTTTTAATTTAAGTTTGCATATCCTTAATGGTATGTTTTTGATTGTCTGCATAGGCTACAAAACAAGAACAGCGAAGAAAATCTTCAAAAGAAAATAATTTATATCATTTTTATCAGACATTTAGATTTGAATTATCCTATGTATGTCCTAAATTTTTATTTGCTTCAAAATATACGCACTCTGGTTTTCTTAATAACGTTATTGTACAAGAAAGATTTCGGTAGGTTTGATATTAACTAATGCCCTGTGAATAGATGACAAGACTTGTTCATTGTTGTATATGCAAATCTAACATTACAATTTAAACTATAAAATAATTTAATACACTATAAATGAACAGAGAACGAACTGGACAGTAACTTAAAAAACTAAAAATCAAATGTAAAGAAGTGTGAAATTAGATATGCCTCATCATTCATTGAGGTTTACTCTGCGACCAGAAAATATCAGGAGATACACATTATAAGGGTGTACGTCTGTAGTTCTATAGTACCGTTTATGTATAAAGAGAGATGTGGGGTATGCATAAATGAGACCGTAACACTACGACAAAATTATGATAAACCCTTTCTTTTGATTTTGAAAGTTTTGTTTTCTGTTGTACAGTACTTTCCAGATTAAGGGAGGGTTGAGCATTCACATGCATGTTAAATTCCGGCACATTCTTTATCATGTAGCATAAGTCATGACGTTAATTTTCTCTTTTGAAAAGTTTGAATATTGTTAAAAAAAAAATTTCTTTTGAGGAGGATTATGAAAAAAATATTCTAGCCGGGTAAGAACCGGAAAAATAACCCTGTCAATGAAAGGATAAAATGAATATTTTAACCAAGAAAATACAGAAAATAAATTTGCACAAAAGTGAGAGCAGATATATATCCCGTCCCCCAATCTCTATCGCCTCTTTTTTATGACAAGAATAGGACTTTCTATTTTTGCCATATCGCATTTCAAATGTTGATTCTTATAAATACCTTGGGCGAATTCGATTATCAATATGGAACTATATTTAAGAGAATCTTACAGATGCCAAAGAGTTGTACTTTTCACACAATTATCTGCTTTGTTATTTCGAATCCAAGTAAAATGTATTGCTTTTATCAGAACTGTAAATGAGTGTGGAGGTATTTAACACTTTACATGATTATTTCTGTCACACCTTTGTCTTTCTTGTTTGGTCCTTTATGATATTAGAGTATAGCTTGTCGATCGCTCCTTCTGATTAGAACCATACTTTTAAAGGTAATTTTCATCTTTCAATGATCTTTGAGGTTCTATTATTATTATTTTCACATGTCATCAAGTGTTTTCTTCTTATTAACCGTATTATTATCTCAGTCATGTTTGATGTCATAACAAAACTTTCTACATAGTATAGCAGACAGAGTTGAAAGTTACCTTTGATATTAAAACACCAGAATCTTTTTTTAATCTTAAAAGTTTGCTAAATGAATCAAATACCATTATCTAGGAAAAAAAGGGATAACATTATGCTGTTTCTTTTAGCTGTGATACTTTACACTACAGATAAATATGTTTCCACATTTGTTTGCTACAAGCAGTTCAGTATTTTGTTTATTGAAGTAAAGTGCTTTTGGTTCCTTCATGCCATCATCAGCACTTAGAAGTTTTTTAAACTTCTTACCGTCCGGCGACAATGCAAACACAGCATCTGATTCTGTGGCTGCTACGAAAATATTTCCGAATAAATCAGTGCAAATATTTCGTGGTCCTTTTATTTCATCAAATTTTGCTCTCCAAATTTCTTCTCCGTCCATATCTAGGCAATACAAATAGTGTTCCGTATAATCACTGTAAAAAAGTTTATTTTCCCAAAGATGAATATATGCTAAAAACTTATTTAAGATTTATTGTCTTGAAAGGTTTTTCGCCCTATTTGGCTAAGGTAATCCCTTCTCCTCTTATAGCCATGGCCAATATGTTATCATAACATGAAAGCCCGTAAATATTGCCATCAGCTATTTCAGAAATACGGGTACAATCTTCTAAATCTAAATTTCAGCAACCTTATCAATATTTAAAGAAGCAATTAATTTCTGATTCATCAATGCAAGACCAAATGGACAACGATCCATTACTTTCATTTCAATGAATTGTCCATCTGCATCAAATAAAAACAAATAACATAAAGTTTCTTTTTCATTGGCAACTGCAAGAACAATTTTACCGTCTGATAATTGTATCATACTGCGAGTATTTCTTGTTCCAAACATAAATCTCGGTATTCCTCTTTTGATGTTACAAATAGTCATACTATTGTAACTGGCTTCATTCGAAGAGAACATTTGGGCTGTTGACTTTGGTTTAATAGAATTAATAACCGTTGGTTTCACATTTAATTTAATGGTTCCCATAGAAGAAATCGTTGTCACTAGCTTCATTTCCTCAGCCACAATAAGTTCAATAGCCTTCTCTTGAAAGCATGACTCCTCCGTGTTGGATTTTAAGTTTGTCTCTTCAGCTGCAAGACAGTCATTCAAGTGTTTAAGACCCAAGTATATTTGCTCCTCGTTTCCGTAATTCTCGGTTTCTGAAATTCCTTTCTCCTGATCTTGTAATTTCGACAACTGATCTTCCATTTTACTCTCAGCACTTTTACAACTTTCTGTCTCTGACACTACAAGTTCGTTTATTTCGTTAACAAGTTTGGCTTCGATATCAGTTAAATGTTTATTAGTTTTATCTTTAACTCGTGCTACTTCTGCACACACTAAAACACGTTGTTGTTTCAAATGTTCAATATTAGCCCGTCGATTTTGTTTCATCTCATCAGCGTACACTTTCATATCCAATATCCTCCTCTTAGTGCTTGTAAGGTATTCGGAGTCTTTGATACCGTTTACGGTTTTACTAAGTAAAGTTATACCTGGACATAGAAAATGTTTAGTTGCAATGCATTCAGTGCAACAAGGATCCTGATGCGTTCCACAATATAACTCGAGCGGTTCCTCATGTAAAGAGCATGTTTTACTTAAAGTACGAAGAAATTCTGGAAATTTTCTGTAAGACTCGATTGGCAAAGTATGGTGCTGTTTTGATAATTTGGAAACTCTGTGGTACTCAGAACAGTCTATGCACAATCCTTCTTCGCAAACAGAGCACCATATGTAAGCATTATTAGAAAGATTTCTCGATTCACAGAGATCACAAACAATTTCTGTTGTCTCTGACATTTTAATCTGAAAATAGTAAATGTTATAACATATGAGTTAAAAAAAACCGAATGTTTTACAATCCAATAAAATGAAGAACATATAAAAAAAAATACTTAAGTGTGAAAATTAATAATATGTGTCAATATTTGTTTTAATCAAAATCGTACTCATTTTATTAAACATATGCATAAAAGCAGCAACTCTTTATTGAATAAGTAGTGATAGAAAAGGCAAACTCTTGATAGTATATCGTATCACAAAAATGGTAACTTCATCATTGAAAATCGAAGTCAAATTTTTGTTCTCAACAGACCTTCACCTTCGATTTCAAACTGTCAGGAAAACAATAACTTAGCACTAGCTGCATCTTTGGTATTTTTAAAATTTTTCAGTTAATGGGCATCAGCTGTATAGCAGAATTCGAAGTTAAACTAGTTACTTGTCATTCTTCTTTAGAAACCCTTGTACGATCAATGTACATAATTTAAATCAAGGAACAGGTCGGCGAAATGAGGAGTATGTTCCAATAGGAAAGCCGACAATCGGCTGGTAATTTGATAAGAAATTTGTGAAGCATTTGACTGACACAGAAAAATGACTTTGTTTGTAGCTACACTTATGTATTTTTAAGTATCCAGTGGTGATGAAGACGATTTAATAATTCATCTTTGATTTTCCGTACATATTGTATTGTATTAAATTAGGCCGTTAGTTTGAACTTTCCAGGTTTGAAATGTTTCACATTTTGTCATGTCGGGGCCTTTTATAGCTGACTATACAGTATTGAGTTTGCTCATTGTTGAAGGCCTAATGACGACCTATAATTGCTTATAGCCACGTCATTTTAACTCTATCTAGTTGTCTTATTGGCAAGCACACTACATCCCCTTATTATTTTATAAATGATCCTAACATGACCTATGGTAATCGAGGTTTCTTAATTAGTACACAGGGAAATATCGCTCATATCGATATCACGTGAATTTAAATTCTTGGGAATCTCACCTGAAATTCACGAGAATTTCACCTCAAAAGAGCTTATATACGTGAAACTCAAGTTCATATGAGTTTCACGTGAATTTCACACGAAAACCACATGATTTTTTTCACGTAAAATTCACGTGAATTGTTAAAATAAAGTAGTTCAAATAACATCTAACTTTTCACATTTTATTATAATCATGAAAAATACGATTTTTTTTTTGTAAAGTTCACGTGAAAAATTTCACGTGTGATTCATGTGAATCTCAATTCAGGTGAAATTCACATGAAAAGTTTCACGTGAGTTTCATGTATAAGCTCGTTCGAGGTGAATCTTACGTGAATTTCATGTGAGATTCACGTGAGCTCATTTTTTCTGTGTAAGTGATATAAAACTTTGTTTCCGATTTATTGATTTAGACCCACGATATTTCGAACATTATCATTAATGTTTGGTGTAATCCGTTGCTCTTAAGAAAAATTATGTTCGGTTTTTAGTCATATCGTTAATGGTTTATTAATCTGGTTAAAAATAAGTACCTTTATTGTCTTTGATACTATAATTATAGAAAATTCAAATATAGCGGACAGAAGAATCAAATAGTTTCAAAAGTAAATAATATAGTTTAAATCATCGCCCAAATATTACCAATTCACGTTTATATTATATATTTACCATGTTTACCTTTTAGCCACCCATATTAAAAAAATATCAATACAATCGTGTAACAATGCAAACAAAAATTAAATTGATGAAGTTTACGGTAACTCTCGTTAACTGTATACTTATTTCATCATGTTATATACAAAGAACCATTGAAAAACATCATGCATATCCATAGTCTATTAGAATTTACTTACACTTTTTGTTATAACACGATCAATGTCATGATAAAAACATGGCTATAATTAGGACAAGGAAGAAATATGTGTGGCTGTGCAGTCGAGTGTGCAGTTTATCATTTTTTTATAAAACGTATCTGTTGAGTTCAAATTGCACGAGTCTATTCTGATTGTTAACAAGTCATGTCACTTGGGACCTTGATGTTTATGTGGATTCCTTCTTGGATATCTTAATTCTTCGTATTTAATATTTTTACCACAATGTGCATGGTTTACCTATAATGCTTTGAACGTATATCTTTAGAAGGTTAACATAATGAAAAATTATTTAGTAACATATAATAGCAAAACAATACATGACATTTGCTCATTGTTGAAGGCCGTACAGTGACCTATAGCTGTTATTTTCTGTGTCATTTGGTCTCTTGTGGAGAGTTGTCTCATTGGCAATCATACCACATCTTCTTATTTTTATGTGTCAATATGTGTAGTTTGAGATGAAACATATATAATGCATATAAAAAAGAGGTGGAATATGCAAAGGGACAATCAAAACTTGTAAGTCGAAGAACAACGAAAACGTCATGGCAATGATAAAAAACCAAAATACGGAAAACGACGAAAAGACAAACAAGTCCACAAAATCTACATAGAAAAGAAAGACTGAACAACGTGAACCACACCAAAAATCAAGGCTGGTACAGGATTGGGGAAATGTTTGCCAACCCGCCAACCTGTTCGCCAAGTTCGCCAACATACTCACATTAGAATGTTGGCAAAGATCCCGAACTTGTCGAATATTGATGTGTTCGGAATGCTGGCTAAGTTGGCAAACTTGGCTAACCAGACTCATATTCAAAATGTTGGCGAAGTTGCCGAACTTGGAGAACATTGATGGGAGTTCGAAAAAGTAACGAAGTCGACGAACAGTACATAAATATTTATTATGTTGGCGAAGTTGGCGAACAGTACATAAATATAAATATTTTTGGCGAAAATTGCGAACAGTACTTTAAAAATATTATCAATGTTGGTGAAGTTGGCAGCAGTACATAACTATAAATAATGTTGGCGAACTTGGCGAACAGTATTGATTTCGTTAAAGTTGGCAAAGTTGGCAAAAATAACAAACTTTAACATTTCTTAAAAAGCGGGGATGATCTCAGGTTGATCCGGTAGGGTAAGCAGATGCTGTAAAAACAGTAAAAAGTAAATATAGAGTCAAACTCCCATAACTATCATGGCGCGATTATGAAATAAAATTAACCTTTTTGGTTACCCGAAACATACTCCATTTATATGTTATTGCGTATTCAAATATAAAAAACTGTAAGACACGGATCTTAATACGCTTAGATCCATATTTCTTATGTAAAACATTGAACGATTTCAAATTTCTCTACAACAGGGCACTACGGCTTCCTTCGCCAATAAAAACTGACCGCCACGAAAACACCAATCAATCAATTAATCAATACTGTCTGTGCCAACGACAATCGAGTGCATGAAAGAAACTGTGGAAATAGAGCAGATCCAATTATGGATTATACATGTAATTTTAAGGCCACCTAACTGGACCGTAAGGGCAATGTGAACATATGCAATCAATTAATATTTTTGGTAAACTTTTACAAAAAATGTTGTAAGACTTCGCAATAATGATGCATCACGGTCATATCCTGAACAAAAGATCCTCATTTTGGCCGTCACAGATAACAATAAAACAATAATTGAGGCAAACAATGTAATTTTGGGCTTAGCCTTGTATCTGAAAACATTGAGCAGTCAGAACAAACCTGACAGTGTGAAAATGATCAGAAAAATCGGACAACCCACTTTAGAGTTATAATTGACTGGAATTATCAATTTTTAGCCAATTTAGCAGTTATTGCACTTAATTGAAAAGCCACCTTAATAACGATTTTTACCATTTGTTTTATGTCAGTGTTTTTGTCGAAAACTATAAAAGAGAGATAGAAACTGTAATCAGTTATAATTATCAACAAAATAAGCGAAATACGATCTACAACATGATTTAAATTGACAATCAACTCATATTTGCATTTAATGACGATTTACACGCACTTTTTAAATTATTTTTTTGCTGATTTCGCGAAAAGTATGATTGTTAGTGAGAAACTGTCCACAGCACAAGTGGTCAGCAAGATAAGATCTATCAATAAGTCAATATTAAATTTGATTTTTGTATTCAAGGGCACCATTAATGCATTAATGTAAATGTCCATTTGAATCATGAAACTGATTTTAAAGTTATGATTTTTACAATCAATTTAAACTTTCAGTTTCCATTATTGGAACTGAAGACTGCAAATGAAGAAATTTCCACGTTTGTTCGCCACTATTAACTCTGAATTAAGTTGATTAAAGTAAATTGCTTTTGGTTCACTCATCCCATCGTCCTGTCCAAGAAGTTTCATAAACTTGCTGCCATCTGCTGATATGACATATACTGCATTCGATTCGGTTGCAGCAACGAATATATTTCCAGACTCATCAGTGCAAATATTTCTAGGGCCTTTTATTTCTTCAAAAGTCGATTTCCAAAGTTCTTCACCATTTAAATCTAAACAGTACAAGTAGTTATCGTTATAGTCAGTGTAAAATAATTTATTTTTGCATAGATGTATGTATGCAAGATGACTGTTTATAATTGTTGTTATTGTTTTTATTGGGGTTCCTTCTTTATCAGCCAATACAATGCCTTTCCCCCTAACAGCAATAGCTAGTGTGTCACCATCACACGATAGACCATAAATACTGCCTTTTAAAACTGTGGAACCCAATGAAAAGGTTTTGGAGTCTAAAGTTGCAAGTATTTTTGCTTTGTTAGAAGAAACTAAGAGCTTATTGTTTATCCAAGAGATACCAAAAGGACATGAAATGTGTTTTTTCCTCGTTATAATACTGCCGTTGGAATCAAACACATCAATGTACCCCTTGCTTTCGTTCTCATCAGCAATTGCAAGCACAATCCTACCATCTGGCAACTGAATCAGGCTACGAATGTTAACAACCTCATCTTCGTAAAACCGATGAAAAGTTGGCCCTTTTTTAATGCTAGTTACTTTTATTTCTAAAGAATTTATGACACTTGAAGAAAACATCTGTGCGGTCACTTGTTTTGTCTCGATATATAATACAGGATTAGGTTTGTTACTGAGTTTGATATTTCCCATACAGAAAATATTCCTGAAAATTTTCATTTCTTCAGTCAAAACTAAATCAATGTGTTTCTCCTGAAAATCATCTTGTTTTGTATTCAATTTTAACTCTTGTTCTTCAGTAAGAAGACAATTTTTCAAGTATGTCATACCTAAAAACACATGCTCTTCATTTCCATAATTTTCAATTTTTGAAATACTTTTTTCGAGGTCAACAATTTTCGACAATTGACCTTCTAATATTTCTTCTGCTTTTTTACATTTCTTTGATTCTGACGCTACAGTTTCTAACAATTCTTTCTGAATTTTGGCTTCGATGATATCTAACTGCTTGTTGACAGTGTCTCTATATCTTGTTATTTCCTCACAAATCGAGAAACGTTGTTGCTGCAGACGATCGATGTTTGCATGCCGATTTTGTTTCATTTCTTCCATGCTTGTTTTTAAGCCTCTAATCTGTCTCTTTGTACCCGAAATATATTCAGACTCTTTTATTCCTTTAACTGTTTGGCTGAGCAGAGTTACACCAATACACTTTGTATGTTGAAATGCTATGCATTCAGCACAACCAGGCTCCTGGTGTGTTCCACAATACAAGACAAGTGGTTCTCCGTGCAGGAGACATGTTTTACTTAAAGTACGAAAAAACTCTGGCAGATCTTGGTAGTTCTGTATTGGTAAAGTGCTATGTTGTCGTGACGATTTTGAAACTTTATGATACTCGGAGCATTCTGTGCACAACCCTTCTTCACAAACAGAGCACCATAAAAGAGCATTATTACTTAGATTTCTTGATTCACACGGACCACATCTGAATTCAGATTGCTCTGCCATTACACTCTGAAAACAGTGGAAGTATACATTATCAATTTAAATAAAAATGAGACAAAATTAATGTTGAAGCAACTATAAACTGACTTAACATTTATATTGCCATTTTTGTTTTAAAAAGCTGGTGATTTTAAATGTTACAGTAGCTTGATACATGTAGAAGCCTTTCTGCTTTAATCAGTCATGACAACTAGAGTTATTACAAATATAAAACAAGATAGATTAGTACTTTTGACGGTAGCTTTGTAAAATAAAAAGTACCATTTGGTGTTGCCCACGGTAACATGATTGCGATGACATATATATATATATATATATATATGTAGAACTCGGAGGTGCGATGGGGACGCTGAAGTGCGATGGTCACGCTGAAGTGCGATGGTCTACGCCGAAGTGTGATGGTCCGTTCGCTGATATGCGATGGTCTATTTGACGCATGTAAAATTTACAGATGTGCAATTATTATGACAAGTACATGTAGATTTCTTTGATAGTTAGCAAAGGAATTTGCATTCATTATTGTATATGTCTGTCCTTAATTACAGTTGCATACCAAATGAGAGATCGTCCTCTTTGATTTTCTACATGTGGACATAATTCTGCATTAACAATTTATCTTTACTTTGTTCCTCTCATGAGTTCCTCATTTACCGTAATATAATATAATACGGAGAGTCTGTCTGCGGACCTGTATGTATTTACAGAATTTCACGCTCCATCGTACGTAAATAGGACCTTTTGTAGATTTGGAAAAAAAAAATCGCTACAAAAGGTTAACTTTCCCCTATCACCAATCCTCCCCATTTCTATAATATAAAAAAGATGTGGTATGATTGCCAATGAGACAACTCTCCACAAGAGACCAAATGACACAGAAATTAACAACTATAGGTCACCGTACGGCCTTCAACAATGAGCAAAGCCCATACCGCACAGTCAGCTATAAAAGACCCGGAAATGACAATGTAAAACAATTCAAACGAGAAAACTAACGGCCTAATTTATGTACAAAAAATGAACGAAAAACAAATATGTAACACATAAACAAACGACAACCACTGAATTACAGGCTCCTGACTTGGGACAGGCACATACATACAGAATGTGGCGGGGTTAAACATGTTAGCGAGATCCCAACCCTCCCCCTAACCTGGGACAGTGGTGTAACAGTACAACATAAGAACGAACGATAAAAATCAGTTGAAAGAGGCTTTACTCATCAGATGGATAAAAATACAAATACTACAAATACAACGGTGGACGTGGCCGGGTACGTGTACACCCAAACAACAAAAAGACACTAAGTACAGATCTGATAGTACTCGCAGTTACTGATAGCTACATTGTAGTTCAACGCCACTAACAACTAATAAAAAAAATCATGCATCTAAGACTAAATTATCAATCCGTACACATCCAACATCCAATGGATTTAGTGTAAAGACGTCATAAACAGTCAGAGAAAAACATGACCTTGTGCAATGCCAAGATACAGGTATCGACAGATTGTAGATCCATAAATGTGTATATGTATATAACAATAATATTTAGTTTGCTTTTAATTTACTGATGACAAAATCAATATTAGTACCAATAAAAATATAAGCCCATTTTCAACTTAAAAACCTGGAAAACTGCTCTTAACATACAAATTGACTTCAACATCGACATGAAAAGTATTGCAAATATAGTTTGTGTTGACCATCGCACCTTGGCGTAGCTATCAACAAGATAGCGTCACAATGCCACCATCGCACTTCAGCGTGATCAAAAACGCACTTCATTGTCAACCCATCGTACCTCAGCGTGACCAACGTGGTTCGGAGTACCATCTCTGTTCAGAGTCCTACATATATATGGACGTTTTTCAATAAAAGTGCGATTTTTAGACCTAAAAAATGGAAAAATCAACTTGTCTAAAATTTTATTTCAGGAGTTATTTTGAATATCTCTATTATAGACCTGTTTATAAATGAAAAGTGCAATCTTAAATACTCTTCAAAATGATTTTTTGTCTTCATAATTTATATACTGTTTCGTAGTTAACATCAACCCTATTCTATGTTGATGAAAATATATTTAACATTACATGAAACTAACCCTTGTTATTTGTTTTGCACGAATATAATTGAAAAAAGAGTAAAAAACGACTGCATGGTAGTGGTAGTGTCCACTACGAAACGTTTTTCTCCCAAACTTGTTACGTAGTGGACATATTCAAATGTTTTATTTTTTTCCCACAATCCCTATATTGCAATAGTAACAAAAAAGATTCTTTTCATCAAACCACATGCTATGCTGTACACTGATATTTTTTTCATAATTTTAAAACCAGATACGGAAGGATATTTCACCCGTTTCTTAGTGGACATAAGAAAAAATACGGTATCACTCTGGTCCATTCGATGTGCTCAATTTTTTTTGCCAACAATTTAACTGCCGTTATAAAAGCATCACTTCTGTTGTAAGACCCTAATGTTTATATCCAGTCCATTTCTTGCAAACATAGATTATATAAAACTGTTTATTCGCAAAATTTAATGACTTCGTTTCGTAGTGGACATTTTGTCAGGGACACACCTGCTAAAATTAAAAATCCTTTGTCAAAAACTGTTTATTAAAATATGTTGGCTCTAAACATACTTTTGAATAATTATATAACTTATTAACATACACTATAATAAATATATTAATTCTACCGATCACCCCGCGCGGAAGTCGTCAAGAACACAGTATTATTTTATTGAGGGGTTAACTTCACTCGATACACGTAATCGTTATTAGTCTTAACTTCAAGGTTAATCAAGCAAATTTATTAAACAATGATTTTATACGATTTTTTTTTTCCTAAAAATTACACAGGGCTTATAAGGGTCTTATCTCTGATCTTATTTCTGTATCCACAATTATGATTCTACGTATTTCACCTGTATCTGTTTGGACAATTCCATGGACGATTCCATACACCATTATGCTTAAGGGGTTTTCATATGTCGTGTCAAGATAATGTATACTATTTACCGTTGTCTGCGACAAATAAATATTTTTTTCTGATAAAGTCACTATTCTAAAAACCAATATCAATATAGTTAACATTTATATTTTATCTAACTGTGTACATTAATCAGGATGTTAATGACAACATACACCTAAAATTCTTTTTGGTTTATCCCGTTTAACACATGGCATTTCCGCGGGAAATCTTCCATTGAGATCATAATTTAATGGACGTAAATTTCGATTAATATTAAGTAAAAATAACATTTATTTCTACCTTTTTTTACAATATTTTAGAGTATGAATGATATAGGGACATGCCATTTTGGTTATTTTGAACCATTCAGGAATCAATATCTTATTAATCCCTCCAAAAATAGTATGTTTCTTTGCTTTAAAATGTTAAATCTAATTAAATGTACTGACTGCACAAAAAATTGCTTGTAAAGATCAAAAACATTTTTTTAAAAGTGGCTGGGACAAGAAATCACATTTTTATTGAAAAACGCCCTTATACAAATTTATAAGCTGTCGGCAATTTGGAAAATTACTCAAAGTTCAAAACTCATTCAAATCGTAATTCATGTATTTGATATATATTCTCTTTTAGGCGTTGAACTTCTGGTAATTGACGAAGGTCACAAACCTTAGTACACCGATGTGCTTGTGAACAGGACCATGACTTGAGTCCCCATTAGTTCCTCTCGATCGTCCATAACATATATAATTATTTGTTTTTTTCCCCAGTAATTGTAATTTTTTGTGGCAACTTGGGCATGTTTACTAACAATGTGCCACTCGATCTTCACTTCGCTCTAAGGTCTTGGAAAAAGGGATATTTATAACTAATGATCGAAGACGAGGGACTATGATGGTGCTCAAGACAGTGTCCTGCCCTCAACAACCTGTTCTTAAATATTGACAAAAACAAAATCATCTCCAGAACGGAAATTAAAATATGGGAATCAACTCAAAACTAGGTAAGATGTGGAAATGGTATAAAAATAGAAACCAGGACAACCTGAATATTCAGTGCAAACAATTATGACAAATATACTCAAACGTCTGTGGATGAAACAAATTCAAAGAGGTTATATTTACCTGTGTAAGCTACGATCCCGTATTTCTATTAAAGTCATGAGTATGTGTGTAGATTAACTGCGGCTCTGGCTCAAAAAACTTTTAATCAGTTGTCTTTCAAACCAAGCAAACAAGGAAGTAAATTATTTGGTTTGACTAAAACTAGGAGACGTTAATCATGCATCGTTAGTGACAACGAAATGCGACAAGTCACTAAATTTTGTAAATTAAAATAAATATGATCAACTATGATGAAAATCCCCGTAAACATGGTAAATTCTTCAAAATTAAATCTTTTTAGCTTTTATAGTAATGAAATTCTGATGAAAATTAGTATAATTAAAAGGTGAGTAAACAAAGAGATCTAATCGATAGTATATATAGGACGTTTGTATTTATATTCAAGGGGCACAAACGGGGGACCAATTTGATTAAAACACAAACCGTGTTTTCAAGTTTGGACACATGATCTGTTACAGTATTTTAATTAGATTGTCTGGGAACATAATGGTATTCCTTAGCATGGTTGTCATTGATTTATGTTTAATGTTGGGTTTTTCGTTTGAATTGTTTCTCATTTTGTCATTTGGTGGCCTTTTATAGGCTTTATAGTTGACTATACCGTATGATTTTGTTCATTTTTTAAGGCAAATCGGTGACACTATATGTATTGCTTACATCCTTGCCATTTGGACTCGGGACTCTGGTTATAGATAAATGAATAAAAATTTGAAACTTTGGTTAAGAATGTAAGATTCTGTCTTAAAACCAAAATTACCGTCAATAAGTTGCAATTATATAATGGCAGTATGGAAAATATATATAAAGAAGTCTTTGTGTTCAGGGAAAATATATTACTATCCTTAGATATTTCTAATTAGTTTTTACAGTTTTATACAAAAAAATAATATTAAACTTTATTAAAAACAAATTGGATAAAAAGATTTTCAAACATACCCAACTATATCAGTCCTATTCAGGACCGATAACTCTGTCGATACATATTGTCGGGTATACAATGTTGTTGAAATCAGTGCAATTGTATTATATGTCTCTGTTGAAATGTATACAATAACAAATTTTTTTACACAAGTTTAACTAAAGAATTAAAACAAGAGGTATATTCAAAAAGAAAGTTAAAAAAATATGAGAAAAATAGTGAATGCTGTGCAAATTTTTAATGAGATATATATAGTCGGTGGAGTGACACCATATTAAATAAAATTTGAAAAAAATGTGGAGATCTTTAAGATGACCATATGTCATGATGAATATTAACACTTTTGGTATTTTTCAGACCGTGTATTCACTTGATTGACTGTAACAAAAAACTATTGCCATCGTTGTCCATCCATCTTCGTAAACTATTTTCCATCGGATTCTCCTCATTGAAACATCTAGGGCACCTGGCAACAAAATTGAGAATATTTGAATGATTTGTTAATTTCAAAAATTGCAAAAAATTATGCCCCCTTCAACATGGCGGGCGTTTCTATAAATATAACATGGATGTACAAATGTTATCTGATGTTGACGTCCGTGTACATAAACGGCTATTATACGTGTCAGATGCGGATCAAGGATTATGCAAGAGGGGTAAGGGGCTTAAACAAGACAACGTTAGAAGTAGAACATGTAAAAAGTCTATGCATTAACCTTATATGTATCTCCATAAAGGGGTGGGGGCTCTTAATCTGCCTCGGCATGTGTGATTGTCTTACTTGCTGGTAATAGCGTTTTACAAGCAATGTGATTGCTTATGAATCAATAATAGCATAGGATATGCACAGCGCTATGTGAACAATAGACATCTATATATTTATAACTGCACCGTCGACGATCAGCTCAATAGTTGCTGAAAAAAAAACACTCCCTTACCCAAATTGGTTTGCTTATGAAGCTATGCTTCCCTTGTATAAGTAGACTAATAACGATCCCCCAATTAGCTTCACAAGAAGAATACTTAAGATAGAAAGACGGTTTCCCGTGCTAGTGGCATCGTGTTCTATCTCATTTTTTACAGCGGCAAAAATGAAAGAAAAACCCAGTTACACATAGAAATTGTAACCTTAAAATTTGACACAAGTGCAAGACGTACTATAAAACAAGGAAAATACATCAAATAACACTCTTTAAAATAATCAGCGGGCACATTAAAACAATAATGGAAAAACAATACATGACAAAATAATATAATTTAGGGGCCAGCTGAAGGACGCCTCCGGGTGCGGGAATTTTCTCGCTGCATTGAAGACCCATTGGTGGCCTTCGGCTGTTGTCTGCTCTATGGTCGGGTTGTTGTCTCGTTGGCACATTCCCCATTTCCATTCTCAATTTTATAGAACTGCGATCCGATGATTGATACAGATGTACCATATTATCTATGACATATAAAGAATAGTTTGCATTGCTTTGAAAATTTAGCATAGTAACATGAATTATTATATGAGTAATCTTGCTGAAAATCATGCTTAAAACTCGTATGTTTTTCAAGTTTATTTTGTCTTAAGTTTAATAACAAAAAGAGCAATTAAAACCTCCAAAGAATATCATATATGTTTATCGTTTGCCTGTCACAAGTCAGGACCCTGTTATTCAGTGGTTGTCGTTTGTTGCTGTATATCATATTTGGTTTTTGTTTAATTGTTTTGTAGATAAATCAGGCCGTTAGTTTTCTCGTTCGAATTGTTTTACATTTGTCATGTCGGGACCTTTGATAGCTTGCTATGCGGTATTGGTTTTGCTCATTGTTGAGGACCTTACAGTGACCTATAGTTGTTAATTTCTACGTCATTTGAACTCTGGTAGAGATTTTTATCATTGGCATTCATACCACATCTTCTTTTTTTTTTTATTCAAAACATTATATAAAGATTTAGTGACTAAAATGGGTTGAATTAGCAAATTCATAGCAAGTGGAAAACAGTTAACAAAATCATGATAATGTCGATAATACCTTCGAAGACAGAATTTCATGGGCAACACGCTACAACCTATTTTATAGAAAATAAGATCATATAAGTCTTTTGGAAAAGAAGAATTAGACACAAGACATCAACATATTAACTTCATATCAATCAAAGAATGATGTCATCTGAACATATTATATTCAGTGCGGAAAAACTGAAATGGATAGCAGGCTACATTCTCTAATAAAGGCAATGACGTCATTTACTTTCCTCATATCACCTCGCATGTGAATGAAAGGCCTTCAGTGAGTTACTTAACTCATAGATCAAGATGAAGACGACCCTTCATTATTATTGATATTCACTGTCTATAACAGTTATACACGTTCTTCACGGATGTTGACGATGCAAATCTTTACAGAAAACATCTGATGAAGATAGCCTACAAGTACTGTCATTTTTATACCCAGTGGTGGATCCAGGGCACCCCTATGATCGACAATTTTTTTTAAATCTCACGTTTTTCACGATACTACTAGTAGTATGTACAAATTTTTATTGCAAAATCGTCCAAATTTTGTTTTGCATCACTTTGCATCGCTACGCTCGACGATATATATTCAATTGTCGGATATTACGCCCCTTTTAAAAATCCTTGATCAGCCCCTCTACACCGACAGTAGATGTGGGGTATACGTTAATGAGACTGTAACCCTACGACCAAAGTTTATTGTAACCAAAGACATCTCCAGGTTAACATAATGTCTTCTACAACAAAAATGTTTACTTCACGCAACGCCAATGTAAATAATTAAAAGACATACTTCGGAACATAAGTCAACAACAGATTAAAAGCAGATATTTGAGTCTGGTAAATATGTTTTTTCATATCTAGATTTCAGTAACTGTGAGTACTTTTAGGTTTTCACTTTGTGTCTTTTGTCCTTCTTCTATTTTTTATTTATGTTTGTGTGCATCTGATGTCTAGACCCTTTCAACTTGTTTTAACCGTTTTGTTTTCTGTTGTACAGCACTTTTCTAGGTAAGGGGAGCGCCGTCCGTCTATGGTCTCTTTGTTTTGGCCGGAATATAATAAGGCTTTTTTTTAATGCCAAATCGCATTCCAAAGGTTTCTTCTTTAAAATACCTAAGGCGACGTCGATTAATAATATGACACTATATTTAGGAGGATCATATACAGATGCCAAAGAGTTATACTTTTCACATTAATATATGTTTTGTTCTTTCGAATTATTAGAACTGTCAGTGAGTGTGATGATAAGAAAAACAAAATGTATCGGCGATAAATAATCATTTATTTTCTCTAGGAGGTAGCTAAAAAAATACACGATTATTCCTGTCAATTTATAATTCCTTAATTTCTTATTCGATTCCTTCTGATATTTAGAGTCTTACGCTCTCTCCATCTGAGCAGAACCATGTTTTAAGGGTAACTTTCATCTTTCAATGATCTTGGAAGTTTCTTTCATTATTATTTTTACAACATGTCATCAAGTGTTCTCTTCTAATTAACCGTATTATTTCGAGTTATCTTCATGTTGGATTTTTATCAAAACTTTCTATATATTATATCTTCTGCAGTGTATGAAGCAAAGTTTATCGTAATCTTTGTTAAGTAAAACAACGGAACTCTTTTCTTTTTAGAAATGTAAAGTTTGCTCAAAGATTCAAATTCTATTATCTGGAAAACTGGATAACAGTATGATAATTATGTTTAGCTGTGATACTTAACCCTGCAGATAAATATACTTCCACAATTGTTTGCTACAAGCAGCTCAGTGTTTTGTTTATTGAAATAAAGTGCTTTTGGTTCCTTCATGCCATCATCAGCACTTAGAAGTTTCTTAAACTTCTTACCGTCTGGCGACACTGCAAAAACAGCATCTGATTCGGCAGCTGCTACGAAAATATTTCCATATGAATCAGTACAGATATTTCGTGGTCCTTTTATTTCATCAAATTTTGCTCTCCAAATTTCTTCTCCATCCATATCGAGACAGTACAAATAGTGTTCCGTAAAATCACTGTAAAAGAGTTTATTTTTCCAAAGATGAATATATGCAAGAGAACGATATTTAACATTTATTGTCTTGAAAGGTTTTTCATCCTCTTTGGCTAAGGTAATCCCCTCTCCATTTATAGCCATGGCCAATATGTTATCATAACATGAAAGCCCGTAAATATTTCCATCAGCTATTTCAGAAATT